GACGCATCTGAACGAATCACGTTGTCAGAAGTTGACACCAGCCAATGAGATTTTGTTTCTTGGTTTGAGACCCTTTTGTACTTTCACGATTGGTTGCTGATACAAAGGAAATGACCATATTTGGATCCGATGAGATTGTGCAGGAGAGACAGAGCTTTCCAACGATATCTCTGTTGACATGGTGCACACAGCGGTCGCGGTACTTTATTTTAGGTTAGAATGCTAACTTTTGGTGAATTAAGGAAAAATCTACTGATGCAAATAGACAAACTATAGTAAAATAAACACTTAAATGTGTATTTCGTACGTTTTCCTTCCAAAAGCCTGAAAGAAAACATGTTATGGAATCAAAATAGCACAAAATCTCAAAATTGACAAGTGCATGAAAAACGATGTTTTTGCCTGCTGTGTCTCGCCTTTAACAAACAATTTATGCGGCTCATATCGTTGACAGCCGGGCCCGGCCCTGCACCACCTTTTTTCTTTTCTTTTTTAAGCGGCCCCCCTCCCCACTTTTGCCAGCACCCCCTGAGAAAAATGACTTCCCGCGGGTATGGAAAGAGATGTCTGTAAATCGGTGGATAATTTTTTTTTAACTAAATAAACTACCCAGTATGAACTATTGTATAGCCCTTATTGGAATAATTCGGTTCTTAAAGTTGTAAAATGCACTACAAGTCGAATCTAGATTTATTTTCTCTCTCCATTCATTCTAGTGAGCCGAGAGTGGGAGCTCGGGGGGCGAGGCTTAAGGGGCGCATGCTCTGTGACAGCACATACGGTTCTTCTGCTCTGGTAGCTAGGCACGACGGGTAATCTGTGACATTTTGCTCTCTCAAAAGTTGGGCCATTTTGACTTCATGCGCCAATAGTAGTGACGCGTCCAAAAACCCGGAAGTAAGTTAGCATTTTTAGCACTTCCGGTTCCTTCGTCAAAAAGCAATGCATTTTTTCCATAGGGTTTTGGTAAATAGCTCGAAATTAAGGTCTGTGGTTGACACAAATTTAAGAGATAAATCACGTTTTGTTCTACGACATTAAATACATCAGCAGTGACCCCATTGATGATTTTTGAAGAGTTTACGTGTCTGAAAAACGATGGTTGTTACCGAGTGGCTGAATAGGACTACAGAAATTGTCGAAGCCATTGTACGTCATTACGCTAATCACGTAAACCCTGCTAAGTTTGTTTCCTGTGTTCTGCTTGAAAAGCAAGTACATGCCTATCTTTAGTATCTGTATATCTATATCTGACCATAGTAGAACTGTATTTTGAAATTGTCGTTTTTAACACCCGTAGTTTTAAAAATTATAGAATATTAAATACCAGTGTTGCCAAATTTTACTCGGCGTTCGTTTCGTTAGCTAACGTTAGCTAAAGCTAGCGGCTACTAGTAGCTACGCAATGGTTTGTTGTTTTGCTCCGGGTTGCGCCACCAAGGTCTTCCGCATGAAAAACGTGCTTGTTCTATCGTTTCCCGCCATGTTTTCCAAGGAGAGTCTGGATTCGTGCCATGAGGTAAGCTGACGTTACATTTTTGTCCATGTCACGGTGAAATGTAAAGATGGGTAGTGACTGTATCGCCGTTTTAGAGATGGCGCCTGCTGAATAAGACCGGCAAACATAAGTAAAGAGTAATGAATACAGTGCCTATTGAAAAAAAACCTGTGTGCCTTATATGATAGGTCTAATTAGTAGCAGCAGCGCATAACGTTTCACCATGTAACTAAAGATTGTAGTCCAGGGAAATCAGTTTGACCATATTGAAGGCTAAGTAACAATCACCTCTCGGCTGGCAGAGAAGCTGCTCCTGGCTCCATAGCGTTCTTCCTTGGAGCGTAAAATCACATTTATATTCAATTTTAATATCCCAATCCTTCAGCCAAATACTTTTTTCTATATATAATCCAACTTATATTTGTTTTTCTTGTTATGCTGCCTGGGGCAACACAAAAGCATTTCCCAAATTGGGATGCAATACAGTAATATCTTATCTTAATTAATTTAAGAAATATAACTATTTGGCAGCTCTCATAGGAAAGAACAAGAACCGCCCACAGCTGTATCACAGTTCCCTTATTATATAAATCCACTGGTTTGAATGTCCCCTATATCCGCCCCGTGCACAAACAGCAAGGATGTGTGGCATTTTGTCCAGGCCCGCACTTTTCTGACCCTCTCCCTTTATTATTTGGTGAGCGATCCCAAGCTTGTCATGTGGCAGCCCAACACTTACAGCGTGCAGCCACATGGCTGTGCAATGTAATGTCGGCACCACTACAGTACGTACACAGGCACCTTGAGGCTCGTGAAAGGTGGGCCCCGCCTTTCGCTACGCACTAGTTTTATAGGCCCCCAGGAGTCTCCAGCTAACTTAAACGTCTGGAGGAATGAGTATGTAATTCCTTTTACGCTATCGCGAGTATCAAAACATAAATCAGTAATGACACCAGTGGTTC